TTCCGTATTCCTCTTCGTCATCCGAATCCTGTGAAGAGAGAGACAGGCCTGCTGTGAATTCGAGAGAAACAGTTCCGCTGATAATTCTTACCTGTTCTCTGCCTGTCTGAGCCCCGAGAAGAGAGCCAGTTCTGTGGCTGATTCCGTACTCTTCCCCGTCCATCCGAATCCTGGGAAGAGAGAGACAGTTCTGCTGTGAATTCCGAGAGAAACAGTTCCGCTGACAATTCTTACCTGTTCTCTGCCTGTCTGAGCCCCGAGAAGAGGGCCAGTTCTGTGGCTGATTCCGTACTCCTCTTCGTCATTCGAATCCTGTAACAAGAGAGACAGTTCTGCTGTGAATCCGAGAGGAACAGTTCCGCTGATAATTCTTACCTGTTCCTTGCCTGCCCGAGTCCTGAGAAGGACCAGTTATACGGCTGAAACCTCACCTTCCTCCAGTTGGCTTGAGGTTGTTTTTACTTAATTTATTCAATAAAGATTCTGTGTTTTTCTACATTACTTTGCCTCTGTGTCCTCTGTGGTGTTGGCTCCTCGCGGTGGTACGTGAGTCGGGGGCTGGGACGGCCGGTCATCTGGCGTCCACTCCTCCCCCGACCCGGTGACATTTACTTTACCTTGTAGGAACTGACATGTATACTGATCTTTACACGCGCACAATGGACTATGGACTATTCAAGCAAGAAATTTCTTGCAACGTGCACACATGCGTACGTACACGCACATAAATACTCACATACACACTGAAATGAACTTTTTGAATGCACAATGTCTCTTGTGGCATAATGAACCGTTTACGTTATACACTGGACAAGAAGGACTCTAACAAAGGAGCATTGATTGCATTGCTACTGCTTTGAGGGACTTTTAATGTGAATCGAAATTAATACTGTCACGAATGAACTGATAGAAACTTGACATGTTTCAAATGAAATATTCATGTTTGTATGTGTGAACAATTCTGATTATTGATGATTTGACAGATTTATATCTTTACTGTGTATATTGTGATATGGCTCCATATTTTTTGTTAGTTTATTATTGTACCTATTTAGCCGGTAGCAATAAGAAGGCCGGTGTGTAGGAGCCATTTCTGACATTTATGTTGAAGGTAATTTAATCACCCCTGCTGGTGAATCATGATCTTACGGTCTTGGAAGGCCTTGGAACAGAAGGAGTTAAATTTGCACACCTGTGCCAATTAGTGGCATTAAGGCAGACAAAGGAGGATTCTGGTTGAACAGTGTTTTGTGTTTTGGACGTTGGAAATGCATGGACGCCAGCAGGCATATGGTTTTCAATTTATTTACTTGTTGGTTTATTTATCGAGAGAATCAAATACTATGCTGGAATAAAACGAACAATCTATTGAAACCCCTGAGGCGTCCGAAGTGACTTACTGGAAGGCACTACAACTGCCGACCTGACTGCTGTCCAGAAGGCCATCATTGACACCATCAAGCAAGAGGGTACACTGTAAAAAAAAAAAAAGTTAATTTACAGGTAACGCCCTGTATTTTTTTACAGAATTTTGCCGTTTTTTTCATTATACAGTGAATACCTGTTAATTTACAGATTTTTGCTGTAATTTAAAGGTCCACTATTATATTTACAGGTAATTGTTTGTATTTTGGTTTTACATCAATTTTACCGTTTTTTTAAGGAAATTGTCTGTATTTTTACAGGGTTATGTGTAATTGTACATTAAATATTCAGTAATATTTTACAGATTATTTCTGTGAAATTAGAAAACAAAGAAAATAAGGTATAACTGCAGAAATCAGCAGTCATTTACCATGTTGTCCTTGAAGATCATGAAGCATGTGGGTGTCAAAGTGAGTTTTAAGGTTAAATAATTGTATTTGTATACAGTAGGTATACAACCAGTCTTTTAAATTTTGTCTTGCAAATATAAATCTTTATAGTCGTATAGCAATAAAGTCTTGCAAATCTTTCAGACCATACTTGTCTTGCAAATGTGCTCATTTTGATAATCATTTGTATTATTCTCCCCTAATTTCATGTTATGTGTTTTATGAATATTTTTCCAAATCTGCGTTGCTGCACACATTGCGTGGCTTTGTGTGCGTGCGACTGTGTGTGTGTGTGTGTGCTCGCGCGCGCGCGCGCGCGCAATGACGCAGATTCAAATTATCCGCCAATACTTTTCCGTTGCTTAGTCCCGCCCACCACAACGGTTAGCTGTTTGGACCTGTGTCAAAGGCAAGCGGGAGATTTGAATTTAGTCTACGGTTGTGAAGTGGATTGTTTGCGATCACAGTGGTTCAAAGCTATAATCGTATTCGTCAGGAGCAGCCGTAAGCAGGAGCACTGAACACATGAGTTATGTTAACGTTACAGTCCGGGTGTCAGTCAGTCCGTTCGGAAATAACGCGCCCTTTTCCAGTGAGCCTGGATCGTCACAGCGGACATCATCATGCCAAGCAACCGATCACCGGCTGAGGTAAGAGTCTCATACCATAATATGTAAACGATATTTTATATTACATTTGTGTTAATGGACAGTTTCCAAGGTAAGGTTAGCATTCATAAATGTTTAGTCATAACTGTTGCCGAGAGCTGGAGGGCAAAACACTGCAGCATGCCTTTCAATTTGCCATCTGTTTTAAGAAAGATCAGTTGAATATCTCTAAAGACCTAAACCAAGCTTTAGTAGACTTGTTATGCGTATCAAAGTCCGTCCAATTTTGTATAAAATCTTCGTTATGATGATAGTCATTCAATAAATCTTTTAAACGGCGGGATATTTTGAAACACTGTCTGGAACCTGAAACTCTTGTCTTAAAAAAAACATCCTTGATTTTATTATAGTAAAATTGTAACAGTAGCTAACCACGTTTTTGGCAGATTTATTACCAATTTAATAACCACAGTTTTACTAAAAATGGACCTACCTTTTTTGTTTGTTTGTTTTCTTAGTAACGTTAGTTAAACCGTGGCTAATTTTGAAATGGTTAACGTGACTAAGTTAACTCCAGCAAGAATGTTAAGAAATCGAATTCAGTTCTGTAACGTTAATTGTTAATATTACAGCGAAGACTAGAGTATGAATATAACATAATGAACCCCTAACGTTATGTGTAACTGATGCAGCTAGGTCACGGTAAATCATATTCATTTTTAATTTATATGTAGCTAAAATCAGCTCAAAACATACTGGTAACCTTTCCTGGGGGCTGTTCCATAAACCAAGATTAGAGTATAAGCCAGGCTTATTTCGGTTAGTCAGGCTTATTTTTGGTAGATTCGGTTTCATAAATCAAACTTAAAAAAGTTCAAACTCAGTTACCCCGGCAACTTATGCTGGCAAATTAACCTGGTCCGGGGCAGGCTAACTGTCAGGCTAAGTCTGAGTTCAGGCTTAACGAGCATACCATTTATACTCACCTTCTGGTATTTCGATGTAATTTTATTTTACTTAACCACTATTAATCTTTTTTTTTTTTTTTAAACAAATAAATAAATAAGGAAATGTACTTTACTAATAAACGTAAGAAATTAAGAAATGTTCAAAACTTGTGTGTTTAATTGGTGAGTTTGGCTAATGAGTTTGGTAATTAATTAATTAAAAGTATATAAATAGGGAGCTGAACTCGTTTCCAAACTTAACCATGGCGTGTCCTTTCATAGATGAGGTGGTGGATGAGGGAGCTATAGTCTTGCGGAGGGCATTTCAAAGAGAGAGAACTTTCAGAGACAGGTCAGACCCATTGGCTTTTAATGACATCTACCTGTATGAGCGATATAGGTTCTCAAGAGATGGGATTGCATATATTTGTAGATTACTAAACCCACACATTGCAAATAATACACGCCGCAACAGAGCACTCACAGTCCCACAGACGGTGTGCATTGCACTTTCGCTTTTTTGCCAGTGGAACATTTTTGTACACAGTTGGAGATGCAGAGAATATCAGCAAAGCATCAGTTTGCCGCTCTGTACGAACTGTGTACCTTTCTTTAAAAAGACTACTCAATGTGTTCATCACATTCCCTGGCCACAAAGCTATTCGTACCATTAAACATGCCTTTTATGGAATAGCTGGTAAGTTCAAATAACTATAAAACATGGAAATATTTCTTGACTGTTGATTTTACATGGGACATATTTAAAACAAACAAATAATTTTCCTAGGTTTCCCAAATGTTATCGGTGCATTGGACTGCACCCATGTGCGTATTAAGTGTCCGTCTGGTCCACATGAAGCGGACTTTGTGAATAGGAAATCAGTACACAGCATCAATGTACAGGTACGGTCCCACTGAGATGATATTGAAGGCTATGCTCTAGCACTGAGTGTTCTGTACTAAGCTGGGCACCAGTGTTTAGTTCATTGCAATTAAAATGTAGTGACCTACAGGTTTAATTTATTTTAGATGATTAGTGATGCAGATTGCATCATCACAAATGTAGAGGCCAAATGGCCAGGCTCTGTGCATGACTCCAGAATCTTTAGAGCCTCATCCCTCTACCAGCAACTAGCAAGAGGTATGCTAGTAATCACTTAATCGCAAAAAGTCTTAAAAAAAAAAAGAAGAAAAAAAACTACATTATATATCTATATATATTAATTCTGTCTATGCAGGAGCATTCTCAGGAGTTTTGCTGGGAGACAAGGGATACCCATGCCTGCCTTACCTCTTGACTCCCTATCAGGAGCCCCAGACAGAGGCACAGCACCGCTACAACATTGCCCATGCACGCACAAGAGGTCGTATAGAGATGGCATTTGGGCTGATAAAGTCAAGGTTTCAGTGCCTGAAGCACCTCAGAGTGACTCCACCTAGGGCATGTGACATTGTAGTTGCTTGTGTAGTGCTCCATAACATTGCTTGTCTGAGGAGAGAGAGGCAACCAAGGATTGTTGAAGAGGAAGACTGGGGCAATGAAGCAGTATTGGAAGAAAACGAAACAGGCAGACTTATACGAGACACATATGCAAATAATTATTTTGCTTAATATGGTCTAAGCCTTTAAAATTTTCCACTGGCCCCTCAACTTTCTCCTTAGTTGAACAAAGAAGTCAAAGTATTTAATGTGATTTGTCTTTATTCAGAGTGAATCTGCCTGTTAGGGGTGAAAACACAAATAAATGTTGTGGAAAGTGATCAAAAAGGTAATGTTTTTTTTTTTCTTTTCCTTTTTTAAAAATGGTAGTTCTACTTGCATTTTTCTGTAGCTGTTGAATTTCCAGCTCCAACTTCCTCATCTTCAGTTTTTTATACTGGATGTCGATATCAATCGCTTCCATTTGTTTAAGGAGGTAGCGTTTATACACTCCTTTTATGTTTTCTGGGTTCTGTAGCAACATAGATTTAAGTTATTTCATTGAATACCCTTGTCACATTGTTTTCATTTCTTAATACTCACTTTGTCACATGTGGTCCCAGACTGAGAGGGCTCTAGAACAGTGTCAGCATCCTGAAAACACATTATGATCATTTTATCACACAAGTACACTTTTTAATATTCAATACAGTATAGCATGGAACCTGTGAGTACCTCAGGCCTCCTTGAACATACAGACACAGTCTCCTCATCCTCCTCAACTGATGGGCCTTCTCCCTGTGACCACTGATTAAACTCAGTTAAACTCATTAGCTTACATGACTGATTTAAAAGGTCTCATACTCACAGGCAACATGATGTCTGGTGGATCCATAATGCATACAGAATCTTGATAGAAAAAATATTATTTTTTTACCAAAATGCACCATTACAGTAGCACAAGTACCTCTACGTGACATTACTGCTATGATGTACTTAGGCTTACAATGCCTAAGGAAGTAGGAAATCAGTTAGTCAGGAAGGAATAATGATAATAAAACACACACACACCTTTTATATACTCACTCCTTATACTACGTGATATCATTTTAGATGATGTCCCCCCCTCTATTCCCTCAAGGACGGGCCTCCCTTTATTAATTTCCAAAGCCAGCTCCTCTGCAGGAGTGAAGCTGGCTGGTGGTGGCCCTCCCCCAGTGCCAGCAACCTCAGTCTTCTTTTTGGTCGCTGCAATTAAAAAAAAATATAAAAAAAAAACCTGAATAGTTGTAACTTCAAGCTGGCATTGATTACATATACCATTAGATTTACTTACCAATCTGAACTATATTTTTATATTTTATTTTCACCTGCTGCCAGGTTCTTTTTCCTTCACTTAAGTTGCTGCTGCGTGAAAGCAATTAACGTTACTGTTATTCACACACAAACTTTGCAATGTATTGTGACACACATTCAATGTTGATAAAATATTTTAAATAGTTTACACCGCTACTTACGCATTGAGACGATCAGCAATTTCCTGCCAACCTTTCTCTCTTGCTTTATTTATTGCCGCTGTATTGCCTTTTTTGGTGATGACATCTTTAAATTCTTCATATGTTTCCAATAGCAAACGCTGTTCCGTTGCCGTGAACATCGCTGCTCTATCTTTTCCTTTTGTTGCCATGGTAGCCCACAGTAAATCGATTGACCCATGCTCGACTTTTCAGGACTTTTAAACAATGGCGTGCACGCGCAATTATCTAGACTATTTAAACCTGACTCAAATTAGTAAGATCACATGATCCTCAACTTACTGTTATGGAACCAATTTAAGCGCGGATGTTTAGCTCGGCTCATTCAAGTCAGGTTTTGGACTTTAATCCCCGCTTTTCTAAGCGGCTTTTATGGAACAGCCCCCTGCTCAGCTTCCAGATCATAACGTTAGTCAGTTGAGTTTTTGCACTGTCCCAATGCAACACATTCTGCCATGTGTAAATGTAATACTGAGTTTTAAAATAACTTATTTTTTTGTGATTTCAGGTCTTGTGGAAAGCAGATGATCATGGCAAACAAGGTATGGGAAGAATTAACTTTAAAAAAATAGTAATGACGAGTCTTCTGATTTCATGTGATTGCACTAAAAGTGTGCACAAGTTTTGGTTTTGCTACAGTAAGACCATGATTGTGTTAGATTCCACCCATCTATTGTTTTTTTTTTTTTTTTTTTTTTTTGTAACTAGGCTCTGTCGTTTAGATTTAGAAACATGGCTTTTCCTATCACTGCTATCTTAATGACACACATCTCTACCTTTCATTCCAGCCAGATGATCTGACAGTTGCTGCTCGCATAACGGGCCTAGCTGATGGAACATTCTTGCTGGATGAATGACCTTCACCTTCAACTCAACTTTGCCAAGACATAACTGCTTATGGTTTCAGTCAAACCATACTTGCTGTGATCCTGCTGATTTGCCTTACACCATTAGGAGGATCAGGCCCTTCCTATCGGAGCTCCACAACTCCTGGTCTAAGCTCTTGCTATATCCTGTAGGGACTGGGCTAAGAGTGAATCTGAATAATTAAATATATCCGTGCTAAAGTCCAGGGCCGTGCACAGACCTTTTGAGGGGCATGTGCTGAAACTGACAAAAGGGCACCCCCTCCCTTTTTTTCCCCCACCATGTAATCAGAATTCATAAAAGTACAAAAAATATTTTTTATAAATGTTATAGTTATAAAAAATGTATATATTTATATATAATATATATATATATATATATATATATATATATATATATATATATATATATATATATATATTTTTTTTTTTTTTTTTTTTGTTCTTTGCACACAAAAAGTTCAATAATATATATATATTTTTTTTAGCTATTCTGTTTGGTTTCATAAGCTAATTTGTATTATTTGGTTAACATTGCTCTACCTTCCCCTCTTCTCAATGTCACACATAAACATGAGTCAAGTATTTTTGAGAAACTATTTTGAAATATAATTTAAATAATTATGTCCAACTCAATTCCAGATTATAAGAAACTATAGCCATACAATGGTAGCTATACAACTATAGCATATCCAACATGTATCTGCCTACCTGGCAAAAACTTGATACTGTGGAGGACCAGGAATGTTGGTCTCTTGAAGGTCCCTTGTTCACTACACTTTCCCTAAAATAAGCCAGCAATGAAAATAAATAAATAAAATAGTGTGAAAAGTACAGTTGCAGTGAAAAGCATTTCCGAAGGATCACGTGACACTGAGTAATGATGCTGAAAATTCAGCTTTGATCACAGATATAAATTACTTTTTAAAATATTTAAATAGAGAACAGTTATTTTAGATTGTAAAAATATTTCACAATATTACTGTTTTTGTTGTATTTTGGATCAAATAAATTAAGCATTGGAATGAATTAAATCATGAATTACATTCTGCATGATAAAATATAAAGATTTCACAGTGATCTTCTGTAATGTTTTTTTTAGTTACTACAACAACATTACTGTAGTAAAACCATGTTTTACTACATGTATACATGTGAGGACGAGCGGAGAGTATAGAATACCATAGATTTAAAAAAAATATAGCGAATACGTGCATATATCAACAGCCTTGAATTAACCATAATTTAATATTATTACCATAACAAGATGAAATGTTAATAAATTAAGTGTATCAGCAATCATAAATCAAAGAAGAAAATTTCTTAAAAATATATTACCTAGGTGACGACGAGGATCACGCAGTTGCTTTGTGTAGTTTCAGTACGAAACAGCGCGGGGGCGCACCTGTGCTTATGATTTTCCGATGGTAAAAACAAGTTATACGTTGTATTACTTATGAATATATTGTTAACATTTTACAAAAGTCAAACTCAAATACAGTTACGGGGTTTTTGACCAGCGAATGTGTGCAAATGTGCATTTTGTCAATCATTAAACGGCGCCGGCGGCATCACATTACATTTTCATCAACGGGTTAAGTTTGTTGTAGCTATATAGGCGCTCAGTTTTTCCTGTTGTAAAATACATTTGGCCAAAATCGCATTTTATAAAAGATGAAATGCTACTGTATGCACAGGCTATTTAAGTGTAGGCTATGTATTGGCTATGACTAGATGGCAAATTCTAGCCTAGACCTCTCTCTCAGGTGACAGGTCCCACATGTCTCAGTCAGACATCAAATAAATAAAATATGAGCTTTTATAGACAAAGTGTTTAGTACTTATTCAAACAACAAGATCTTTATTTACCCCTGCAAAACTCCGTTCAGCTGCTGTCTGCTGTGCGGCCGCTGCGGTGCTTCAGTTCATTCAACACGATAGAGGGGGCGGAGTTATCAGGTTTACTGACAGTTTGAGGATCGAACAAGATTCACACAAGCTCTTTTTAAGAACTTTTATTGGCTAAATATTTTTTAAAACAGACAGACAGACGTAACGGGTGACCAATAGCATTGATTTATTGAAGAAGAAAAAAAAAAACACCACCACCAAAAAAAGGGCACTTCGAGTGTAAGAGCAAAAAGGGCATGTGCTCTGCACAGGTTGAGCCCTACCTGTGCACGTGCCTGGTCTACATACACATTGTAGCCACTCCCTAGGGATGATTTGTTCATGAGGAACATAACCGAGTCGTATGCCAGTCCTACACCAGAAGCAAACACAGACTTCCCCGTGTATACAGCAAAGTCTAAAGTGTACCCAATGCTGCTGTCTGCCAGCACAAAAAGTTTGAAGCCCCACTTAGTTGGCTTCGCCTTCATATACTGGGTCATGCCAGTGTGAGCCTTTGTTGCCACCATCCTCTCGTCCACTGAAAGGTTCTGCCGTGGGTGATAAAATGCTCTGCATGCATGTTTGATGTCATCTAAAAGGGGCTTCAGACGAAACAGCCGGTCATAAGCTGTTGTCCCTCTCTTCCGGTCGTTGTGGACATCTTCATCAGGGTCGCTCATGTGGATGTTCCAGGAAATGACCTGATACCTGTCACGTGCCATCACTGATTGGGGAAACTGTTGGCTGAAAATGGTATTTGTCCTCCAGTAGTCCCGGATATTTGTCAGTCTCACCAGTGCAAAAAAGAAAGTCAGTCCTAAATATTTTAAAAATTCTTCAACAGTGAAGTTTTTCCAGGAATATTTTTTGCCACTGGCAATGTTTTTTGCAGCGTTTGTGTTTGTGTTATTACACAAAGTGGTTGCCGCACTGTCACTGACAAAAAGTTTGAAAAGGTCCAATGGTGTGTATATGGATGTGGGGCTAAGCTGATGTCCTGGCTTTCTTGTTGGGACAAACCTTTTGGGCACTGGAGGGATGTCTGGCTGACTCTCACTGTTCCATGATGGAGTTGGAGCTGCTGGCTGTGGTGATCTAGATCTCGACCTAGGGGATTCAAGACTCTGTCGACCCCTCAAGCTGCCGGATCTGGGTGCTCTCCCTCGTGACTGTGACTGCAGTCGTCCATGACTTCCTGGCAGCTGCTGGGATGCTGCAGCAGAAGTGGAAGGCTGGGATGCTGCAGCAGAAGTGGAAGGGCCCTCCTCAGCGGAAGAATGGGAACTTTCATGTCTGGCTTGGGTGGGTGGGCTGGTGTCTTCTTCATTATCACGACTGTAAAACAAATAAGTAAAGCAAAATATTAGATCATACATATCAGATCAATGAGTGTTTTTGTATTTTATTTCTCACATAAGATAACAATGGCTGAGATTGCTACTGTACCCCCAACCCACCACAGCTATGAGGTGAGCAGTGTTGAAAAAAACTTCCCCCACTACAACATCCTTTGTGTGTATCTCTAGGTAAACTCACTAAACCTCAGACAAAAAATGGCTGAGAGACAAAGTGTAATCCACAACTCTTACTACTCTGTAACAAACATAGAAAAACAAAATACTACTTTTACAGAACTTATTTTTACATATTTAGAAAACGTCTCGGGTTATGACTATAACCCTTGTTCCCTGAGAAGGGAACGAGACACTGCGTCGTAAGATCGACACTTTGGGGACGCTCCCTAAGCGTGCGCCTCTGAAGTAAGAATGAAACTAATCCAATCCTGATTGGTGTTGCGTCGTGACGTAACATGTGACGGCATAACCGGATGCATAAAAGTGACGCTGACACATACACATATCAGCTCCGCGATGAAGCAAGACGATCTCAGGCCTCGAGGGGCGTGGCAGGACGACGCAGTGTCTCGTTCCCTTCTCAGGGAACAAGGGTTATAGTCATAACCCGAGACGTTCCCTTTCGAGGGAACTCGAACTGCGTCGTAAGATTGACACTTTGGGGAACGAATGCCCACTAGGCCACGCACCGAAGACCGGCCTGCCCCGGAGTGAAACTGGTTCAGGCACTCAGCTAGGACGAGAGCACATGTGCGCCAGGCATACTAGGGAGGTGCAGACTAAAGAACCTAACAAAAGTGTGTGGGGTAGCCCAACCGGCTGCCTCACAGATCTCCTTGATGGGAACTCCCGAAAGGAGGGCCCTAGAGGACGCCATGCCTCTAGTAGAATGAGACCTAACGGCCAAAGGTGAAGGCAAATTGTGCACCTTGTAGGCCTACTTATGGTTTGTATAGCCGGGAGCCCCTAATAGGTGATCCAAAACACACTACAGTAGGTCCGACCTCCTCCAAGAAGAGGACCTCTCAAGGTAATACTCGGAACTCTGACTGGCAGAGCAAGGAACCTCTCCTTTTCTGCCGACACATGAGGTGGAGGATGAAATACTTGCAGGACCATGGACCTAGCCATGATAAATTGCACTTAAGGCACATAGCTGGGTCTCGGATGCAGGATGGCCTTAACTCCTCCGGGGGCACACCCCAAGCAAGCTGGCGATACTGCCAGGGCTTGGAGATCTCCCAGTCTCTTTAAAGAAATAGCTAAGAGAAAG